TTGTTTAATTTTTATCAACTGCAAAATAAATTGTTTAATAAAACATGACTCTGTTGGAATTAAAAAAAAAAAAAAAAAAAAACAATACACACGCGTTTCTCTACCGTCCCGATAGTTACACCTTTATTTAATTTCTCTATTTTTAAAAAGTTTTTCGCTATTAAAATACTTCATCGCAAGATCTAATTCATAGGGGTCTTTGATTGAAATTAGAATTTACGAATTTCATACATTCGTTTTAATGATAATTATTATTAAAAATATTCTTTTATCTTTTTCTTCTTTCTCAATATCAAAGTTACTAATGGATGTTGATATTTTGTTTTCAGGTTTAAATCTTCGTACAACTGAATATCGGGATTTCTTAAATATCTATCTCTCATGTTAGGTTTTGTGAGGTTCTACTTCAGGTTCGGTGATTCAAGATTCAAAATCAGCAGTTCTTTGTTAATACGTTCAATACTCCTTAATCTTTCGATCTATTAACTACTTTAAAAATTTCAACTAATTATTCTAATAGATTCTTGGTTTTCTTTTATTAAGCAGTTTTCTTCTTCAGTAGTCGCTGTGTACGCTTGGTGATATCATTTTCGTCATAATGGAGAGGTTGATATTTTTGAGGTAAGTGGTAATTGTGCTAGTCTTTGTCATTTTTCTTGTCATTATTGTTTCAAGCTAATCTATTTCTTTTTTGTTCTTTTAATTATTATTGTCATTCTGTTACTGCTCAAATTGTCATTTCCAAATTCAATCTCAAGAATAATTCCTAAAAGGCTGGTGATGTACGTCTTTGAAAACCTGAGGAGTTTGCTACTGTGTATAAGTTATCTTGTGAAGTGGTTTTGTTATAAGGTAATATATAGTAAGTGGGAGTTTGTGCTATTAAAATAGGGTCTACACTAGTGATCGCATCATCGCAATTGTTTTTGTTGCAATGGAGATGCTGTTGATAATAAAGAGATTGGAAGGGAATAATATTGTTTCTGTTTTTCTCTTTGTTCTCACTTTAACCAAATCTTTCTTATTTTTCTTGTTGAAATCAGTAATTTCAACCTTATTCTTCTAAGTCCGTCATCTACAAATGACACCTTTTCTGTGTTGAATCCTTCGAATGGTGAGTTTTCCTCACTATTTCTGTCGTCATTTTTGTTATTGTCAAACAAAGTATGCCAAAACTACATAAATTAACTTATATCTCCTTTTACTATTAACTTATGTTGTGATCATTCTTCAAGTGGTCGATGGGATGTTGTACAATTTTGAGGTACTTAAGTTCACTTAAATTTCGTAGAGGAAAATATATAAATTAGAAGGAATGTATACTTCAATATTTATGGTAGAAATTAAGCAGGTGTATAATATAAAAATAAATTTAATAAAATATTTTTTTTTATAAAACTAAATGTGTAATAATTATTATATAAATTTTATTTGTCAATAATTTTTTTTTTATTAATTATTATGAATAACAATCAAGGAATTTAAGAAAATATCTTTCAATTTGCATCTGGAACAATAGATAATGCAAGAGATGCTTTTATTAATTCTGAGAATTCTGATTATATACAAACTTATATTAATCAAATAGAAAGATTATATATAATATTTAACTATTTATTAATTTCTATTGAATTTAATTATCCAACATATTCTTTAATATTATACCAATTAAGTTTAATTAATGGTATAAAAGAAAATTTAGAAAATAAATTAGTTCAATTAAGTGATGAGGAATCTTCAGTTGAATTATTAATCTATGTAAAACTTTCAGAAGGTTGTTCTAAATTACAAATTTCCCGAAATACATTAGTTATTTTATCACAAGAAGGATACACATGAACAGAAATTGCAAAAATACTAAATGTAAGTAGTAAAACAATTACTAGACGAAGAGATAAATTAAATATAAGAGTAGAAGAAATTTATACTATTTTTTCTAATGATGAATTGGATTATGAGATTTTATCTATTAAAGAACAACAACCAAATGCTGAACAAGTAATAATTATGGGTGCCCTTAAAGGTCGAGGAATTAAAGTTAAAAGATAAAGATTAAGAGAATCTTTAAGAAGAATTGATCCATTTGAAATAACTGCACATTGGGATATCAGGTATCAGGACCAAATGCTTTATGGTATATAAATGGAAATTATAAACTTATATACTGGAAATTTGTTATACATGGAGTTATTGATGGTTATTCTCAAATAATTACTTATTTGCATTGTAGTACAAATAATTAAGCTCAAACTGTATTAAGATTTTTTTTAAATGATATAAAAAATTATGGAGTTCCTAGTAGAGTTCGTGATGATCGTGAAGGAGAAAATGTTGCTGTTGCTGAATAGATGTTAACTAATAAAGGATTGGATTGTGGTAGTTATATTGGTGGTCAATCAGTTCATAATCAACGAATTGAAAGATTGTGGCGTGATTTATTTCGTTGTGTTACAAAAAATTTTGTTTGTATTTTTTTATTTTTAGAAGAATATTATAATATGGATCCTAAAAATGAAATTAACTTATTTTGTTTACATTTTGTATTTCAATCATGAATTGAAGTAGCAGTAAAAGAATTTACATATTCTTGGAATAATTATTAATTACGAACTGAAAATAATTTTACACCTCGACAATTATTTATTAGAGGAGCAATACAAAATAGAACTGTTTTAGATAGTATTGATAATATTGTTAATTTAAATGGTTATAGTATAAATTGAGAAGGATCTTTATCAGATAAATGAAGTTTCAAATATTTTAAATTCTCAACAATTAATATTATTACAACAAAATTTTAATGTACTAAATCAGAGAGAGAGAGAGAGAGAGGGGATGGAAATTTTGGTATTAATATTTATATACAAGTTAAAAATTTTATAAATTAATTAATGAATACATAAATTGAATATTTTTCAAAATTATTAAATTTTATTTTATTATTTTTATTATTATTTTTATTTTTTGTATTAAAATCATATATCCTGAAATAAAGAAATAATAAATAAAATAAAAATAAGTAAATAAAATCAAATGTTGAATTTTAATATAATTATTTTTTTAATAAAATAAAAATTATAATTTATATATAGTTTGTTGTAGATAGTATCTAAAAGTATATCCAACTGGAAATTGGAAAGTGTATTGAATTTTAGTGAATAAGTGTTATGCTTTACAGTGTCTGAAGAGAACAATCCTTTATTGATTAACTTTTTAATGATTCATCTTCATAATCTCTTCTCAAAGAACTTTTTTAGAAATGTAAATTGAGAAGATATAATATTGGTAGGTTCAAAGTTATTAATTAATTTAAGATCACTTGCTAAGAAATCATCAGATATCTATAGGGAGTGAATATATTCTCATGATTGATCTTCTGTAGATAGACTTGGATTTTGTGATAAAGAAAAAAAAGGTATTAAAATTAAGTAATTGGTCATAACTCTAACAAAATAAAGTTTTCTTGGTTGGTGCAATTAAATCACTCTTTACAATGTAGCTCAGTGGTTTTTAAACTGTGAAAAGTCTTCGTGATCTTTCTCTCCTTACTACACCTTGCTTAGAGGACAATGACCACACCCGAGAAAAAAAAGATAGAAGAAACAGAAAAATATAAAGTGAAGTTTTTCGCACTTGTACTAGGCAAGTACTGGGAGAAAATAGTTAGATCCTAGGCCTGCTTCGAAAGGTGACAACTGCCCCTAATCTTCACTTCATATATGTTGAACCATAAAAATATCATAACCACTAAATATAACCTACTAATAGTAGCTAGCATCGAAAACACATATAATCTCAACTTACTTTTTTTGGGTCATAGAATATATCCAGTCTTTCGTTGTAATGAAGCTCATCTCATTTGTCTTGGCCATTGTTAGAATCAGGTATGGTGGGTTCTTTGTCAATTTATTAGTTAGTGGGTCCTTCAAAGCCTTGTCTTCTTTATGTGTCATTGCTCCTTCTTTTGTAAATTCCGTTTTGTGAATTTCAATAACACCTGTTCATTTTGTCCTCTCGTATCTATTTCAAAGCCAATTTTGATCTCACAGTATCCTCACAAACTAGAAAGAAGAAATGGAAGTGTATTATTAAGGCAAGGGATAAGGTAAGTATAAGTTTTTTTAATTATTTAAGAAAAAAAATATAAAAAAAAATATAAAAAACTCAACATACGTCTCCTCATGTTTATTTTAAAACCGATTTCAATCACATGGTGCTCCCATGAACCAGAAAAGAAGAAAGAAAAGTGTATTATTAAGACAAGGAATAATATAAGTATAGGTTTTTTAATTATTTAACAAAAAAAAAATAAAAATAAAAATAAAAAAGGTAGAAAAAACTTACCATACGTCCCCTCACATTCATTTCGAAGCCAATTTCAAGCTCATGGTGTTCTCACGAACTAGAAAGAAGAAAGGGAAGTATATTATTAAAGCAAGGGATAAGATAAGTATATATTTATTTTAGTTATTTAAAAAAAAATAGAGAAAAAATAGAAAAAACTCATCAAACATCCCCTTGAATTCGCGAAGCCAATTTCGAAGCCTATTTCGACCTCACAGTGTTTCCACAAACCAGAAAAGAAGAAAGGTAAGTGTATTATTAAGGCAAGGGATAAGGTAAATATAGGTTTTTAATTATTAACAAAAAAATAATATAAAATAAAATAAAAAAAAACTCACCAAACATCCCCCACACCCATTTTGAAGCCGATTTCAATCTCACGGTGTTTCCACGAACCAGAAAAGAAGAAAGGGAAGTATATTATTAAAGCAAGGGATAAATTAAGTATAGGTTTTTTTTAATTATCTAAAAAAAAATATAAAAAATATAAAAAATAAAAAAAATAAAAAAAAAATTAGAAAAAACTCATCAAACCCATTTCGAAGTCAATTTCTCTTCACGGTGTCACCACGAACCAGAAAAGAAGAAAGGGGAGTGTATTATTAAGGCAAGGGATAAGGTAATATAGGTTTTTTAATTATTTTAAAAAAAAATAAAAATAAAGATAAATAAAATATCTCTTAATCGTAAGGTCAAGTTTTATTTTATTTTTTATTAAATAAAAAAAAAATTGATTATCTGCGATACAAATTATCTGTGATAAAATTAATATTATCCGTGGTAAATTAATATTATCTGTGATAAAATTGATTTATCTGCGATACAAATTAATTTATCTGCGATATAAAATTAATTATCTGTGATATGATGTTATTATCTGTGATAAAATTGCTGTTATCCGAGATACAAATTAAATTATCTGTGATACGATGTCATTATCTGAGATAAAATTACTGTTATCTGTGATAATTAATTATCTGTGATAAATTTATTATCCGCGATAACAATTTTATTATTTGCGATAAAATTTTTTATAACTGTGAAAAATCACCAATACATCTGAGTTATTTTACGTATACATGTGCGATTTAACTTGGACTTTTGTCCTGTTTGGCATGCCATAGTCGAATATATTCGAATTAATTTAAGGCAAATATATTCGGATATATTTGCTATTAAAAATTTCCTGATGTTATATTCAATAAGTTTTAAATTAAATTTAAATAATATTTTATTTAATTTGATTATTTAAAAATTTAAATTATTTTATTTAAATGAATTTTAAAACAAGTTGAAGTTAGTCAATAAGCCAATCAATTTATACAAGATCTAAAAATGGATGTTTTGCAAGTAATTCATTTTATTATTTCAAGTCAGGATAAAGTTACAATTGAAACAATTTATAATTACTAGAATCATACAAATATTTTACTTTTAATAAATTTTCTAATAATAATGATTTTATAATATTAATAATGAAAATAATAGTGAATTAACAAATGATATTTCTAAAAATATTCAGGTACTTCATATTCCTAATGTAATAAATAGATATAGAAGAATTTCATTTTATACTAGAAAAAAATATTATTTATGAAGATTTGATGAATTATTACAGAACTTGTTGATATTTTTAAAAAACCAAAAGAAAATATTGAAGATGTTGAAAAATCAGATGATAATATTAAACCAGTTATTATTGATATTAATGATATTAATGTAATATTAAAAAGTATAGAAAACATATAAATATTTTAACTTGAAAATGTCTGTCTGTTCGCTTTTGAGAAATTAATTGGTTGTTTATATAAAAATAATTACTACTGTTATATGTTAACAGAAATTCTGCTTCAGACTTACAACAGTTTCCATTTCCTGGTTATGTTATAATTATTGTTATTACATATACAGAATTATAACAAAATCACTGATCATTACTACATATAAAACTTTTTATATTGTAAGTGAATATCAAAATAGTACTAAGTAACTTCAAAGGTAAGAATTAATTGTGTATTTTATTTAAAGAACAGACGTATATCATCAAAATTGAGCAAACAATTGTTATTTAAAATTCTTTCATCTGTTCAAAATTTAACTACTAATAGTTCTCTTAATTTGATGATATGGGTCTGTTCTTTTAATATAATACACAAATCAATTTTGTCTTTAAGGTTACTTAGTATTGTTTTTGACATTCACATATTAAAATAAAATGTTTTATATGTGGTAACAATCATGAATTATTTTCGATTTGTAATCTATAGTTGAATAGATATGATGTCCATTTATCTTATCATTTTTAATAGATCTAATTTTTTGATGAGCGTCCTTATCCTGGACCCCCAGTTCAGGGTAAAAATTATGAACCCCCAGGGTTCAGGCAAATTAACCTAGACCCTTTCCTTTTTTAGTAATAAAATTTATTAGTGCGCCTGCTATATGTTAATAATGCTATGAACGTAATCAT